TAATAATCAGGGACATTTGCAAAAGAGAGGTTTCAAAGTCTGATTTATTCTTGAAATTTTATTTAATTCCACTAATTGCTGTGTAATTGCTTTCTACCAACCCGGTACCCGGTAGCTAACTGCCTCTTTCTCCTGTTTGTTTGCAAGATGGTTGCTTACTTTTGTGGAAGTGGAGGTAGGAGGGTGAGAAGAAGAGAGGGAGAGATCCTAGATTTTGCATTTTAGTTGGGAGATAAATAAGCATGGTTGTAGTTTAGTTTCAACACACCCTTGGCTACTATACATTGCAGTCTGGAGATGAAGGTAGAAAAATCTTTTCTTCAGAACTGCAGTAGCAGAATTGTTAATTTCAAACAATGGATGCAATTGTAAAGAGATAATAGTGATGTTTGATTTACTGTAATCAGATATAATTATAAGTCTTTACAGTCGGCACAAATGCTCAGACAGGCATAAACACTTGTCTTAAATGGTTCTTATTTTTTGGGAGCCAATTACAAGGAAACAATGATTAAGAAATAGTTTTGTTTCTATTGTGTCCTATTCATCTCATGAAAACTTCTCCATATGGAAATCTTTCTGGCCATTTTTTTTTCTTTCTTGATATGAAATGCATTGAGTAACTTGCTTCCAGGGAATGTTTAATGCTTCCATCATTTTATCCTGCAACTTGTATAAAAACAATGGTTCTAGCTAAAGCACTTAAAGGCAGGAATGTCATGGGAAGGTTAATATTAGTTAGAGATTAATTGCAAATTAATTATTATTGGTTTCACTTCAAGCCCATACTTATTCATGAATTTTACTGAGTAGCCATATGGTAAATTATTCCCTCTCAACCTGATTTTCCTTTTTGGATTTGTAGTAACTGTAGTAGTTTCCTTCTTAGATATTCAGTGGAAGTAAATTAATATGTGATCTACTTGAAGACAGATGAAAGCCTTCTTGGTGAGGTTTTTCCGAAGTGGTTTGCCATTGCGTCACTCAACACTATTTAATATTTTAAAATAAGTGATCATATGCCCATTAAACAATGCATGCACACCTTTTGTTGTTCTGTGTTGATTCATGATAACTCTTTAATTAACAGTTGAGTTGTCTTGTTGCATACAAATTATTTAAGAGGATGCAGAAATCCAAAGTGGTGTTTGATGGAAGTTAGAGAGGTCAAAGCAGTGCCACCTTCTGGTGATTCATTGGAGGTGGCTATGTGTTCCTTTTCTTGTGCAGCCCATGGGATTTGAGGTGGGGGTGGGAGGCAGGAGCCAGCCAAAAGAGCAGACAGATGCGGCTTGGTGAAGAAAGATAAATTACATAAAGTGCTTCTTTATTGCAAGAACGTTTCCCAAAGGTCCAGATGTTATCCCGAGCTTTTAAGAGTGAAGAAAAGATCTGTTAACATGAATTCTGCTGCTGCTAGAAGCCAGAGCTGATACAACTGTAAACTAGCCCTAACTATCCTTGTCATTATTAGTTGTCTCTTCTCCGACTTGGCTGCAGCTCTCTAGATGCTAGAAACTATGGTGTGTGTGTGTGTGTGTAGTTGACTTGTGTAAGGTGATAAGGAGGGGATTCTTTTTACATAATATAAATGGTACACAATGATGTTGGTTAAAAAAAAAAAACCCTCCACCATTCTTGCTCACTTTCAGAACTGTCCTTCATGGGAAATACGTAATCCAGGCTAATTTGTCTATTCCGACATATGTATCATATAAATCACTCCTAAAGGCTCTGTTCTCAGTTGCTGCTTCTTTAATAGAAGCTGATGATTTGCAACCTCATCTATTTTCCTTAGGAATACTCCCCGGAAAGGCCCGTTATGGAATCAATTGCTACTAATTTCAGTACTGTTTCCAAGCTACTGACATTTGCAATGGAAGACGGTTTATGTGGGGGGGAAAGGTCTAAGATGGGGAGAGCATGTCTATCTAAAAAGCAGACTTAAATTAATTTAGTAGTCAGTCCACATTTCACCTGAGAACAAAGGAAGGTATAGTTTGGCGAGGAACGCTAAGGAGATCTAACTCTGAATTCTACACTAACAGTTACAAGAGTTCTTTGGAGGAAACTCCAACCAGTGAAAATTGCAGTGTGTGATAAATAATTATATTTATTTACACATCATGTAGGCTCTGTTTTTCTGGATACTACTTCCATTTTACAGGGTGCACATAATAGAGATGATTTATCATACATTTTCAGATGGTGAGCTCCTCCTTTCCTCTTTGTTTGCTCAAATAGCTTCTATGCTAAATTATACCCAACCTAATAGTGAGGTGATCCACATAATTGGAGTTGTACATAATCACTTATCAATTTACACTGCTGATATGTTATAATTCCCTTTACTTTCTTAACTTTGTTTCTTCCTTAACAAGTCAATCATTTGATATCTGTCTTCATCTTAAATGAAGATGACTTTTCCTAAAGCAATTAAGGTTGGACATAGCACCACTGCCTCAATAGTTCCTGGCTAGGCTTCAGGATGGCATGAAACCCAATGTGATATGATTTAAGAATTTAGTTATGCTGCTGCATTTTCTTTACAAAGTGGAATATCCACATCTTCCTGATGATAAGTAGCAGCTGAAATCCAAATATGTTCAAAGTTTTAAGCTTTAGGAATATTGCATTTGTCCTAGGCTGAAAGTTAATCCAGTTAGTGGAAAGTTGCCCAGAGCACTGTTAAAACTGGTAGCTGAATTATATATTTCTTGATGTTACAAAGGAGGAACACTATTCAATCCATGGAGACTAATCATATTAATAGCATTTAATCAAAGTAATCTCAGTTGGAGTTTAAATTCCAATGTGGATTCTGCTGGCGGGACCACTTTTTGGAATGTGACTTCTTAAAGGATGCCCATGGGCTCTGTCAAAGTTCTGCATCTTAAGGAACAAGTCTGATGTTGGATTTTGTCAAACTTCTACTGCACATCTTTCAGATTTCTATTAAAACCATAGTATTTGCTGTTGTAAAATCTTGGAAATTCTTGCAGCCTTGTATTCATTTGTACTTTGTCTTGGCTTTTCCTGCAATACAGTAGTAATAATTACAGGCAGATGACAACACAATTCTCAATAGAATTCTCACTTCTCATATTTTCCAATTACTTTGCCATTCCCATCGACTTCGATCTTCTTTCTGCTCTTCAGCTGAATAACCACATGACATTTCTCTGTTTCAGAAATCAAACGGTATAGAACTTCTGAAAGTGCACGTTTTGTGCCAAATTACCTACAGGTAACCCTTGATGTACCACCACAATTGGAACCAGGATTTCCCTTGATAGACAAGGCAGTTGTTAAGAGAGTTGTGCCTGATTTTGCAATCTTTTTTGCCATGGTTTTTAAGTGAGTTGCTGCAGCTGTTAATGAATCGTGTGGCCCTTAAGCAAATCTGACTCCCCCCCCCATTGATTTTGCTTGACAGAAGCCAGCTGGGAAGGTTGATTACATGACCCTGGGACATGGCAACCATTGTAAATACATGCCAGTTGCTAAATGCCCAAAACTTGATCACGTGACCATGGGGATGCTGTGACAGTTCTAAGTGTAAGGACTGGTAGTTAGTCACTTTTTTCAGTGCCATTGTCATTTCAAATGGTTGCTAAACAAGTCAAGGACTGACCAGTATTACAGACTTTTAGGTTTTTTTTGTAATTACATTCCCATGTGTCCAATATCTAATTGTTTAAAAGTATAATTGTTGAGCTACAAAGGCATTTAAATCAGAACGTTATTTCATAAAAATTCTTGAAATACAACTTTCTTAAAATAGTTTTTTTCCCCCTTAAAATACCTTTTTATCTTTCTATTTTGAAAAATAATAGACTATTGACACAGAGTTCTAACATACTGAAGCTAGGGAGCATTTTGTCAACATCTATATTTTCTCAAGCATGGGAAATAAAACAGCCACATATTCTTTCTCAATTTCTCCTGCTCTGATCTACGGTTTATCCTCTTTCTTGTGCAACAGTTCAGAACTGTTGATATGAACAGGAGCTACAGAAGAGGTAGGGACATAATGGAAAACCTCATCTGGGGTAAGAATGGGCAAGAGAAGTCCTGGATGTCTTGGCTCCCATTGCACCAAGAATCTTAAAGTACCCTGATTTTGGATTAGGGAAGCTTTCTTTGGATAAACTAGATGAAATAAATGCCTTTTACAAAATTAGCGTTTGATATTTAAAAAATGTGTAGAGTGTGGAAACAGTCACAGAGATAACATGGTGGTGATGAAAATGCAATGAAAAGAAGTATCTTCCCACAATAGGATCTTAATTGAAACAAGGTTCCTTTATTAGCAGATTAATTTATTTTTTTTAAATGTAGCAGCTGTATTCCTTCACTGGTAATTTCCAGCCAAGGGGATTCCTATACAGGAATTATGTGGCTCTTGTAGTTCTATGTTTTGCAAAAATTCAGTTGATTCTCAGGGAAGGTAACAAAATGAAAGGATAGAGTATAAAAACTTAAAGCTTAATTAAAATTGATACTAAAACCAATTAATTATAATGGAAAGCCTGGCAAAAGAGAGGTGTTTTTACAGGATTTTTCTAAACAGAGAGAAAAGGAGCTACATCAGAAAGGGTGAAATTAGAAAATGCAGAACTGTAGGCTTGTCTGTAAAACTGTGTGTTTTTGTGTGGGGGGAAACCTGAAAAAAAGCAGAGGCAAACCACTTCTGCTCAGCTGCCAAGAAAAATACAAGGACATGTCCGTATAGTCATCAAGAGTTGAATTCAACCTGAGGGAATCTTTATTTTTATTACCTTCTTACTTATCTTGGTGAACGTCTCCTGCATAGAAGCATTTTATTTTGTAGGCTAACCCCTCACCTGTTCTTAATATGCCAATTTTCTGTATGCAGTAAGGTTTTTGCCCAAGTTTTCAACTGTATCACTGTGTGAGGTCAGAAGATGATGGGATGAGGAAGAACTCCCTACAGAAAATGACTTTATAAATCACATTTTCTATGTGTGCCTTTGCAGCTTCATGGATATTGTTACCAAGACAGCAATGACATCTCAGACACCTTGACTGCCATCACAGAACTAGGTTCACCACTGGAGATGATACAGCTTTTGCAGACTTCTTGGGAGGACAGATTTCATGTAAGTACAATTACAAAGGTCTAATGGTATAGTTTTAATATGCACAAAATAAGTATAGGTAGTCCTTGCTTAATGACCACGCAATCAGCTACCTTGCAAAGTTATGATGTTATTGAATGAGGAGACTTATGACCAAACCTTGTACAGGTAGTCCTCGACATACGACCTCAATTGAGCCCAAAATTTCTGTTGCTAAGTGAGACATTTGTTAAGTGAGTTTTGTCCCATTTTATGACTTTACTTGCCATGAATGTTAAGTGAATCACTGCAGTGGTTAAATTAGTAATATGATTGTTAAATGAATCCGATTGCCCCGATGACTTTGCTTGTCAGAAGGTAACAAAAGGTGATCACATGAACCCGGAACAGTGCAACCATCATAAATATGAGTCAGTTGCCAAGCATCTGAATTGGTCAAAAGTGTGAAAAACGGTCATAACTCACTGTGCCGTTGTAATTTTGAATGGTCACTAAATGAACTGTTGTAAGTCAAGAACTACCTGTAGTTGCAGCAGTTGCAGTGGTCCCATGAACACTTGATCATAATCTGAAAGCTTGGCAATCAGCACAGATTTGTAATAGTTGCAGCATCCTGCCGTCATGTGATCTCCATTTGCAATCTTCACAAGTCAGTGGGGAAGTTGACAGGAAGTAGCAAGTCACAACAATGTGATGTTGGGCTTAACATGCTATTCACTTAATGACCTCACCTGCTGCGATGGCTATTGTGAGTTGGCACACTCATGTGATTTTTTTTTTCACTTTACAACCATGGCACTTAGTGACAGAATTGCTGCTCCCAATTACAACCATTCGCTGAAGGCTACATGTAAAGAAATGTCTTCTGCTACCTGGCACTTTTCAGCTGTGTTAGGACTGGAGCTCTCAGCATAAAAGACCATTTTGGCTGGGAATTCCGTAGTTGAATCCCCTGAAAATTATTAGGAGAGACTGATACAAAAAAACAAAGATGGAGAGGGGATCCTTAGGGGGAAATATCAATATAGTGGTACCTTGGTACTCATCTTTAATTGGTTCCGGGAAGCATAATGAGTACCAAAAATGATGCGTACGAAACAAATTTTTCCCACAAGGAAAATGTAGTGAGTCACAAGGTAGCCAACACCAGCAGGTTCTAGCTTGTGTATTGAGTAGCAAACAAACGATGAGTACCGGGATAAAATTTTCACATCAAAATCTGTTGAGTACCAAATTCGACGAGTTCCAAAGCAGTTGAATACCAAGGTATCACTGTACTAATTCCAAATCAGTGAGAGGTAAGTGGGAAGTGACAGAGCTTGTAGGCTATGCCAGGGTATTAACACCATGAGCATTTGCAGTGGGAGAAAAGGGAAAAATCTTTATCTTTATGTTATCTTTAGTGAAGCGTGCAAACCAGCGTTTGCATTTCTTACATCAGATGAGGAGAGCACATCTTTCGTAAAATGGGGCAAAACTCACTTAACAATGCTCTCACTTAGCAAAATAAAATTTCGGCTCAGTTGTGGTCATAAGTCAAGGACTATTTGAAAAATGAGTTCATTTTGAGGTGTAGCTTTTCTAAAACTTTTTATTATAGCAAAACAGTTTGCAACTGAGAAGTATTTTTAATGGAGCAATGTAGAAACCAATTCATTCCATGCCATTTCTACGCCATATTGTTTCCCAAATAAATTCTCACGTGATGGAATTGTGTGGCTGCACCCTGTGCCAGAGCTATCCAGAGGCAATCTGGAGGTGGACTTTGAAATGTATCTTACAAGAACATGCTGGCGCATTAGGTGAAATCAGTTTATAAGAAATTTGTGCATTTGTGATGTTAGCTTCATTTACTACCCAGGACATCAGAGAGCCAGGTTTGTATGCCAAGGACCAAGAAAAAATATTGAGCAAACTTTCCATGTGCACACTTGGCACTCATAGTTGCTGAATCTGTTTCTAATAATGAAGAAAGCTGAAGGCTTATTGTCATTTTCCATGGTCTCTAACAATAAACAGATATTATTAGGATTGTTCTATTACAAAAGCCATGTGTGACAACTTGGCTTTTCTGATTTCAGATATGCTTCAGCTTAGTTCAGCTTCTGCATTACCTGGCCCATTCTCCTCTTGGCTCTGTAACTCTATTGGATTTCCGACCTCGACAATTTGTGATCGTGGATGGAGAGCTCAAAGTGACAGATCTGGATGATGCAAGCAATGAGGAAACCTTCTGCACTAGCAATCGAGATTGTTTCATGGAATTTCCAGCAAGAAATTTCACTCTTCCTTGTTCTATTGATGGCAAATGCCAAAGCATGAATGAGAAGAGGAATCTTTACAATGCATACAGGTACTGATCCAAATAGAAGCTGATAATTTAACAAATAAAATCATTGTTTACATATTGAAAACCAGAAAATAGATATTAAGGAGGAGAATGTTACAAGTTATTGTACTGTCCTCGAAGTTGATGAGCAGTCATACTCCAGAGACTAAAGTAGGCTGGGCAGCCATTTGTGAAGGATTTGTATTACTAGATCCCACATAGTTGATCCTATATTGTGGAGAGGGTGAACTAGATGAGTAGATCTCTTGATTATGGGGCAAGGTAGCATTTTAAGGCTAGTATCAGATAAGGAACTGGTTGATCTGTGAACCCAGCTTTGTAATGGTGATGCACATGTCTATAAACTGAAAGAACAGTGAAATACATATATTCTTTGATTTATCACCAAAGTTTCAATGGACCCCCCCCCAAAAAAGGTACTTACAATCCAGATTCAGAATTCTGACAGCTGGGTGCCCCTCCATGATCAGCTGATCACATTTTTGATACTTGGCAACTGGCCACATGTATGATTGTTTGCAGCATCTCATGATTTACAATGTTTATTTTTGATGGAAATCAATTGTTATTTCCAGAAACTGAACTAGTTAAAGACTGTATGATTAAATGGGCTCAAAATATAGGAGAAACAATACCTATGGATACTTGGGAGTTGATCTGGGTGAGAAATGTGAAGTTTACACAAGCACAAAATCTACGTGAACATTTTTATAAGATGTTTTATAGATGGCACTTGGATCCTTCAACTATGTCTCGTATTTATCCGAATTATGAATCCAAGTGCTGGAGATGTGGTCATCCAGATGCAACTTTCTTTCATATGTGGTGGACTTGTAAGAGCATCTCATGATTTACAATGTTTATTTTTGATGGAAATCAATTGTTATTTCCAATTTTCAGCAAAAAGCATTCATTGTAGACGATGGGTTTGCTTAATGATTGCCACAAAAATGTTGTAAAATTGGGATGGTCATGCAATAACCTACTTAACGATTGGCATGGTCTATGATCATAATTCTGGACTGCACTTATAGATGTTAAGTCATAAATTGACTTACCCATATCATTTTCTATTTCTTTTCATACCTGAGGGATGTGTTATGCAATTGTTTAAAAGGAGACACTTAACCTGTCTCTGGATATGTTTTTTTTCTTCTTTTAATTAAAATAGTCCAATAAAAAGAATTCTTAAAGCGCTAAACAAAACTATAGGGATATAGGAAAAAAAGACATAGGGAAAGAGAACAATTAGAGAGAACAATTTGTACAAGAGCTTGCTACCTTTCTAAACAAAATGTTAACAATTAAAACATGCAATTATTGTTACCATTATTATTTTTTTGCCTTGATCAAATCATTTTCTGTTTCTCTAGAAGGCTGGATCCAGATCTACTAGGCTTAAATTACAATGAGATAAATTTCAGTTGTATATTGGTATTTAAGTTCGATGAAGCAGTTACTTAGAACAGACATGTCAAACACAAGGCCCAGGGGCCGGATGCGGCCTGCGAAGTGGTTTCATGTGGCCTGCGAAGCCATCCGGGAAACAGTGAGGGAACGGCCCCCGCTGCCTTGGCCCTGGCCCAGGCCGGCCGGGAGCCAATGTACAATTTTATGGTGGCCATCTGCCCCAGTGGACCATGCCTTGGCACTTGCCCCAGTCCCACCCCCTTCTGCCAGAGACCCTCAGATCTATCCCACTCCTGCCCAGGCCCCCACAGGCACCCTTGACGTGAATGATGTAGAACTGGCCACGCCCACCCAGTAGGCAACACCCACTCCATCCACACCCACCCAGTAGGCTGCACCCACTCTGGCCACATCCACCCGGCCCCCCAAGGGCAACCGCAATGCTGATGCGGCCCTCAGTGAAATTGAGTTTGACACCCCTGACTTAGAAGGATCTTAGAATAAGATCTCACTGGAGATCTTATTGCAGAGACTGGCAAGCAGTTAGGGATACTGTTCCATTAGACTTCTTTCCATGAGAAATGGACATTGGCTCAAGCCAACAATGCTTCATCCAAATTATGCATTGTTGGCTCTGTCTTCCTATTCTATTCAGTTCAAATTGGTATGAATACATAATTTGACGGGTAATGTTTAGTATTTATTAAAACCTTTAAACAGGAAGATAAAAGCTAACAAACTAGCAGGAGAATAAGGAAGAAAAAAAAATGAAAGAAAAAGCCCAAAGTGCAAAAAAAAAAAAGTTGAAGATAAATAGAAAAGTTGTGGGAACCCAGGAGGAAGTTACCTTACCGAATCATGAGATTTGCTTAATGAAGACAATTGAGACTGCAGGGATTGCCATCACTTAAGTCAGTGGTGGTGAACCTATGGCACGTGTGCCAGAGGCGGCACTCAGAGCCCTCTCTGTGGGCACACGCGCCATGCCCCAGAGATGGCAACCGTCCCTCTTCAACCAGCCGCCCACTAACTCACTGAGGTCCCACGTGGCCGGATGCATCCCAGCACGGCTGGTTTCCCTCCTCCCTGCCCTGCCTCGTCTTGTCTCGCCTCACCCCACAGAATGAGCCTCCTGCCCACTGCCCCACCTGCCAGAGACCCCCTGGGTCTCCCCCAACCCTGCCTAGCCCCCACAGGCATCCCTCCCCACAAGCAACATCGAGGTGATCACACCCACCTTGGCCACACCCACCCAGTCTGCCATGACCACCACAGCCACGCCCACCCAGTGGGCCAGGCCCACCTGGCACCCGGTGATAAATAAGTGGGTTTTGGATTGCAGTTTGGGTACTCGGTCTCTAAAAGGTTCGCCATCACTGACTTAAGTGATAAGTCACACTTTACAATTGCATTGCTTACCAATGGAAATTTCACTCCTAACTGCCATCGAAAATCACCTGTACAGAACATGGTATACTTTCTTTGCAAAGCCCAAAGAGATGTAATTATTGATTGATTGTGTGCCATTAAGTTGCTGTCAATCTGTAGTGATATTATGGATAGATTTTCTTCATGATTAATGTGCACATTCGTGCAATTTTATTATTCATTTGTGTTCCTCAACAGCAATTACCAAACTATTACAAATCTAATACGTTTCATTGCTTTGTAGGTTTTTCTTTACGTATCTCCTGCCTCACAGTGCCCCTTTATCCTTGAAGCCATTGCTTGATTCGATAGTCAATGCTACTGGTAAGAACATACAAGGAATATTTCTATATCAGACCAAAAAATCTGCATGATTCTGCGCTCATCAAATGCCGCTGGATCGCACTGTATGCATAAATACTTCTTTTCTTGAATCCTAAACTACAGGTAGTCCTCGGCTTATGACCACAATTGAGCTCAAAATTTCAGCTGTTAAGTGAGACATATGTTAAGTGTGTTTTGCCCCATTTTATGTCCTTTCTTGATACAATTATTAAATGAATCACTGCAGTTGTTAAGCTACTAGCACGGTTGTAAAGCAAATCTAGCTTCCTCGTTGACTTTGCTTGTTAGAAGTTTGCAAAAAGTGATCACATGACTTAGGGACACAGCAACAGTCTTAAGTGTGAGCCAGTTGCCAAGCATCTGAATTTTGATCACATGACCATGGGGGATGCTGCAAAGGTTGCAACTGTGAAAAACGGTCATGTCACTTTTTTCAGTGTTGTTGTAACTTTGAATGGTCACTAAATGAACTGTTGTAAGTCTAGGACTACCTGTTTAGTACTGAATGACATGGTTCCAACAGATGAAACTCTTTAAAAGTACTTCGAGGCATTGTTTACCTTAAAGAATCTTTTATTCGAGAAACAAGGTATCGGCACTATATAGTTAAAGCCAAAAACTGAATTCCCCTCCCCTGGGCACAAAGTAGCAAAGCACAATTCCCTCCTCCAATTAACAGTCATAAATCACATTCCCCAATTAGCTTGAAGAGTGGGCTTTCTCCCCAGCTCCCCAAATCTTTATCAGCTCTGGGCCGCAATAACATTGAAAATCCCACTCAACCGACACCTGGAGGAAACAGTCTATCTAGACCCGCTCCAGTCGGGCTTCAGGCCGGGATACAGCACGGAAACGGCATTGGTCACATTGGTGAATGATCTCTGGAGGGCCCGGGACAGGGGTTGTTCCTCTGTCCTAGTTCTTTTGGACCTCTCAGCGGCTTTTGATACTGTGGACCAC